AAAAAATAGTAAAATTTAAATTGTGTTCAAATATGTAGACTAAATTGTTGGAACTAACCTGGAAAATAAATATGAAAGTCAAAATATAAAACAGGATTTAAAGTTCTCCTTTTTTAATTTAATTGGTGCATTTTATTTAGTGGTTCATATAATTCTGCTTTTATTCCTGTCAGTTTTGGTCCTCCGTACAGCAGAAGCCTGATAATCATCTATTCCTTCAGATCAGGTGTGTTGGAGCGGAGGAACAAGTAAAGCATGCAGGGCTGCGGCCCTCCAGGACCAGGATTGCCCACGTCTGTGTTAAACTCACCATTTGAGGTTTTTGCGTTCAGGGTTGACCTGCGCCTCGTTGTGGAAAGCTCGCAGTTTGGCCACCAAGTCAGTGGAGTCCTGCGCTGCGTTCACAGCCAGCGTTTTGGGGATGACGAGAAGAGAACGTGCAAACTCTGCAATAGCCAGCTGCTCCCTGGAACCCTGAAGAAAAAAAAAACAAAAGATGARAACAACGGCTTCAGCAGGGATTTCCAGCTGAAGGCTAACAGGCTAAACCCACCATGCTGGTAGCGTAGTTCTCCAGGTAAATTGACAGAGCTGCCTCCACGGCGCCGCCTCCAGGTACCACAGACTTGGACTCGAGGACCCTCTTGACGACGCACAGAGCATCGTGCAGCGAGCGCTCCATCTCGTCGCACATGAAGTCGTTGGCGCCACGCAGAATAATGGAGGCCGACGTGCGAGCTTTGGTGCTGAGGGGACGACRAGTTTAGAGATTTAGAAACAAAGCTGCGGTTTTTTTTTAAGCTCTGGTTGGTTATTCTACCAAGTTTGAAATCTTCACATTCTGTACGTATTTTATTTGAAATCAAAGACGGCTGAAGACAGAACTTGTTGTCAGCTTACTTCTTGATGAGAATGAGTTCATCGTCACAGACTCGTTCCTGCACAACCTCCTCCGCCTGGCCGAGCATCGTGGCTTCAAAAGTTTCCTCTCCTTCCAGATTAGACAGCGAGGAGCAGACGATGGCTGCGAGCACAAACATTCACAAACTTATTATTTTAGGTTGGTGATAGAGGAGGATAAACCTGACATGAGAACATCCAGACTCATGTTTTACCTCCTGTTGCCTTGGCGATACGTTTCAGGTCCTTTTTGAGAACCCGTCTAACTGCCATGGCGCCAACATCCACAAAGTACTTGAGGCACATGTCGTCGATGCCACCGGTGGTCAAAACAACGTTAGCTCCTGATGCTAAAATCTTCTGGATCCTCTCCTTGGTGATATCAGACTCCCTGAAACAACCAAACATTATCACCATTTACACTGAAAATTCAATTAAATAAATCAATCTTTGGGTTTTATTATTATTTATAGAATGCAATAAAGATCAGGGCTGAAAGTGGGGGGAAAAATAATTAACTACTTTTGTCATAAAGTCTGGTTCCAAATACAAAAAAGTGCTGGGCAAAAAATAAATAAATAAAATATTTAATCGATCTTGGATTCACATGAGATCRATTCTCCCCACGGGGTCTTGTGCGTGTCTGAGGCACGTTTCTTTATTTTATCACTCCTGGCTTGCCGTATATTTACATCCAGTTGATGTTCAGTGCTAACATTAGCTTTCGATTACAAGTTGTCTGGATCAAAACAAAAGAAACTAAGGAATCTCTAACATTACTCTCAGCAGAACTTAAAGGTGACCTATTATGCAAAATTCACTTTTTAAAGCTTTTTTTTACTAAACTTTGGGTATGTACTTCTTAAAATAAAAAAAAAAACAGTCCTAGGACCCAAAAAAATGCACCCAGGGGCATATTTACTGTAAGTAATGTATTTTTAATGTATATTAACGACAAGTTTTATACTTCCGTTATTTTGCGACGTCACAGTTTCAGCCCCTTACCCAGCAACCCCCGGGTGAGACTCCACCTCCTCAGTATAAAAAGCTGTCATGGTGTTGTGTAATGCGCAGCTCATTTCACAACAAGCCTCCAGTAGGGCAATGGGTAGAGTGTTGGACCAGAGAGTGGGAGACCAGGGTTTGAGACTGGCACACAATTTAATTATTTACTTTTGTTTGTTATGAACACGTTTTCTCATGTACCTCTAATGTTTAGCTTATTAAAGCCTTGTTAAAGCCTATTTGTTCGAGTTTGAGGTATTTTGACCGCTGCTGCTCCCTGCTCTGGTAACAGCATGCAGAGAGAGCGCAGAGCAGAGGAGGGAGAAAAAAAAGAAAAAGAAACTGGGACCGACTCTGCCTCTGGGTCTCATATGGTTGTACAACGGAGCTTCTGCTATTATTAGCCATGCTAACGTAAACGCTGGCTTTGGAGGGCGGAGTTAATGTCAACAGACTTTTGGAGGGCATTACCAACAGAGCTCATTAACATAAACAGCTCTTCTGAAGGAAGTCAGAGCAGGCAGAACTAGAAAATGGGAAATTTTATTATCTGAGAATTATTTTGTGCATTAAACTGAATGAATTCAATTCAATTCAATTCAAAAATACTTTATTGATCCCAGAGGGAAATTAGGTGTTGTTGTAAACATGGTCGAACATGGTCTGGATAGCCCACACACATACCATAAAMATTTCTAGGACMCATWATTGGTCTCCTTWAAGATTATTTTGAGTCACTATMAGAGAGATGAAGAGTCARAGTTCAAMTAATATTGTTTCAATAAACAAAGACCAGAGTYTTCTTTGTTAAGAGTTCCCCTTTGATGTCACTTCCTGTTTCACTTTGGCTGAACCAAGTTCAAAAGAAACTTTGCCAGTTATGGGACAAAATGGGTTAAATCGTGTGTATTATCCCAACTTTCTTAAATATAAAGAGGTTTTCTTTGACTTTTTGTACTTGAAGAATAAGCATGTCACAAGTACTTTGAAGTAAAAGCTGCACCTTTTTTTTAGGTCCAGAGAAATCTTTGTTACATATCTGGTCGAGCTAGATTTGTTTATTTATYGAGTCATCATCCCTACAAAAATACATCTACAAACTGTATCCAGCTCACGGTAATGTTCCTGCAGCTCACTGAGGAGAAGCTGTGGATGTTTGTTGCCTCCATCACAGCAAATTTAAATTGGAGGAAAMATGTGTAAACTCGAGAACGCCAAGAATAAAAAAACAAAAAAAGCAATCCATAACCTACCTCTGTCTGATCTGGTCGAGCTTCTCTGGGTCGTTGATAATGACCTGGACCCCCAGCTTCATTTTGGTCTTCTGCAGGCTGAAGTCCAGGCAAGCTATCTTGGCATTTACAACCCGCTTCACCATCCCTGCAAACATAATATGTGTTACATAATATAAACAAAGACTGTCCCTTTTATTTTAAATTGTCYGGCCAAAAGGAGGGTCACAATTTACACATCACTGTAACTCAGTTCCTTTCGGTGCCAGTTTACTGTCTCCCACGCGTATCGCTGCACACGTCACCAACAAAGACATGGCAGCAAATTAAATGGGAGTTGAACGCCATGTTTCCTGTTTACCTTGTGAACCGACCGTGCAGTTCAGTGCGTATCCGTTAACCAGGAAGCTTTCCTTCTGGCTGCGGCCGTGGGCTTTCAACACGTTCACCGAGTTGATGGGATACTTGGCCACTCCTTTGCTGTCTGTGAACTTCACAGCCAGGGCAGCATCCACCACCATGTTAGCAAAGAAGTCGGCATCACTGACGGCTCAAAGTTAAGGYGATAAATGTGAGAAAGTTGCTTTCTGTTGAGGAAAATAAAGGCTCCAATACTGATCTAAAAACACGCATTCAGGATACACTCCAATGATTTTGGAGGACATGGAGGTCTTGGCTGCATTGATTAAACATTCTCTGCCCAGGTCATCCGTCCCGATGGTCAGATTCTCGTTGATGTAGCGCACCGCTTCTCTGCAATTTAGAAAAGACGTYGTTAGCTCATCAGATTTCAAGATGGTCTTTTATCAAATCTCAACAAAGAACGTTTTCCTCGGACTCGTCTTACTTGCAGGCCAGACGGTATCCGCTGATGACGGACGTAGGGTGAATCTTCTGCTTCACCAGCTCATCGGCACTCTTTAAAAACTCTGCAGCAAGAATTACCTTTAATAAAGACGCACACAAAGTCCAACATGAAACACAGACTGTGTGATCTGTGAAAACAGTTGTTTTGCCTGCCTCTAGAACAGAGATGTGGGCCGCGAGCGCCACCTTGAGGGCCTCAAAAGAACAACAGTTTTTAACTTTGGGCCGCATTGATTTTGAATGAGGTACAATACACTTCCTCACCACTAGTAGCAGTAGTGCGCCACTCAGTTGCTTAACAACTGTTTTTAATACGTAGAAGAAGAACCTTAGAAACCTGCCGAGAATGGAAACTTATTTTTAATGAAAAGTAGAAGCAAAAATGTACGGATGCCAAAAAATAAAAAAAAGGCCAAAGTTTGTCACTTAAATGAAGTACAGCTTCTGGTTCTGTGATGCAGTATTTTAAAAGTTCAAAACATTATCAAATACAGTTGCAGATACAACTATATTTTAACTTGCACTTTAATAAATAAAAAAAAAAAAGGCCAAAGTTTGTCACTTATATGAAGTACAGCTTCCGGTTCTGTGATGCAGTATTTTAAACGTTCAAAACATTATCAAATACAGTTGCAGATACAACTATATTTTAACTTGCACTTTAATAAATTATATTTTGTAGTTTTTTTTAATGTATTTAAAAAAAAACTAAACTTTTCAAAAAGCTGTTGTTACCGTTATTG